TGATAATCTTTGTACTCTAATGTCAGCAGAGCCATTGTCTAATTTATTCGCAGAGATCATGTTGATTATTGAAGATTTTTGAGAGTAGTAATAAAACTGCCCGGTCTGGGACAAAAAGAGCGCGAAAATCACCAGACTGAAACCAATTAAATATGACACTTGATTAATTGACAGTTAAATCACTTTTAATTAAAATGTAAATATAAATGGTTAAAACAGAATGATTACAGCAATTGATTAGATGAAATGAGGAGTAAAAATTGATTTTTTAGGTGAAAAAATGTCAGTTAAATAATTAATCAATGAAATGTGTCCGGACAGCCCTAATTATTGGACACCTACATAAAGGGCATCTAACTAAAGAAATAGCACATTCAAAACATGCAACAGCATGGTCACAGGGGGCGAATACAAGACCAACCTCATTCTCAAGACATACTTTACATGTATATCTCGATAAATCTGATGAAGCTCTAGGTGGTGGATTTAATGGTCTTGAAGACATATAGACACAAAGCATAAACTTTGCCTGGCTTCGATGATTATTGATTCCCTCTCATTAGATAAATATAGGCACATAGTGGTGATCCATTAACATGCTCTATCCATGTAATTCATGTTATATCTTTTGTCCTTTGACAGTTTCTGCAACTCATCAATAACATCTGTTCAGTTAATGTTTTCTTAAGAAAAACTGTTTTGAAGAAAAAAGATGATCTTAGAGCCAATTGTAATTATGTTTCAGTTAGAATCACTTTATAGAGATAGAATCATCATCGTCACATTCAATTCTAATAATTAAATTGTGAGAAAAATGATTATTAAAAACAACAGGTAAGCTATTGGTGCTATTATGTGTTGATTGAAATTTCCTTGTGATAATCTTTCTATTCTTCTATTCTCCAGGTTTGCATTTGGAGCGAGACCGCTGACTCGAAAATTACATCTTATCATTGCTTCTCTCTCATCAAACTGACCTGGCAAGAATATTCTCTCTAAAGAGGAAATTGACCCCTGAAGTGCATATCAATTCAGTGTCATGATGTTCTTGTGATCAAAAAATCAAAAATATCAGTTGGGATCAATACCATTACCCTCCAGTGATTTGCGTTTTTGTGTACAACCATCAATTTAAAATTAATCATTTGTGATTAATAGTTCAAATCAATCAAATGAATTGTCCATTAATTATTCCCGGTCTGGTGATTTTCGCGCTCTTTTTGTCCCAGACCGGGCAGTTTTATTACTACTTTTGAGCTTAATAGATAGAGTCAGTGAGAGACGATGGTAGTTGAGACGAGGTTTTTCTTCTTCGGTTTGCCCATTTCATTTATTTTCTAAAAACAATATGAAGTAAATAATCAATAGGGCGGTTAATTACAGTTTCAGGGGTAGAATTGTGTATTTGAATGATTTGATTAAATTTGAGAGCTCGGTTAGCAATAGTTTCAGCTCTAGCCAGCAGATTACGGGATTCAAATCGTGAAGGCAGGTTTTGGGTTACTGAATGAGTCGTAAGAGGATTCCAATTCCGAGAAGTTCACTAAGAGATAAAGAGAGAAAAAAAGAGAAGAACGATTATTAATGCAAAAGGCTAAGAGCGAAAGGGGTCCCGTCAAATGTCGGACGGCAGATACGAGGCGTGACAGTCAAGAGGAGGAAAAAAGAAAGAGGACAATTGTTAACCTACTTTTACAAGTTTGATGACGATTGTTGGCACTAGAGGGTGGTAGTTGAGAGGTCAAAGGGAAGTTAATTGATAATTTACATGGTCTATCTATGGCCTTATAAAGGTCAATTTGTGATACCAAAATTACTGGTCAACATTTCTGATCAAAATATTATCAGAATTGTACACTTTCAGTTGGTATTGATGGTGTGACATTGTTACTCAGATCTAGCTCTTTGAGAGTTTGTGTTTGAATTATTTTATTATTGTTCATTTTGGTGAGCACTACAAGTCCATTATTTTTATGATCCGCTTAATTTTGGCCTTCTTCACAAACTTAAGCTTAAGTTTCTCAGTTAAACGTATTCAACGCTACGTAGCTCACTAAACGTTAGCTCATAAAGTAAGTTCAGTGAAGAAAAGAAAGTTTGGACAAAGGTTTTGGCTCATGTTATTGAAGCTTAAATGATGTGAAATGATCAATTCAATCGTATAAGAAAATCAATTAAATAACTTGTAACGTTGTTACAAATGAAATGAAACATTTTAATGCCATTGAAATCTTAATTTGTGCAAAAGACTTGATTAATATACGCATTTTTAGCCTAGATAACCAAGTTCAAAGCTTAATAATGACGGTGAAACACTTAATAAGACAAAATTTGCATAAGCTACTGTAGTTATGATCTAAACCAGATAAATGTATCGCGATAATAACTCGGAATAGAAATGGGGAGTTTTCTTAGCATAGAAGGTGGTACAATAGCTGTACGGTTGAAGTTATGAATTCGTTAAAACTTTGGCCTCCGCCTTAAGTGTCGTTTTTTGTTTAAAATCGAAGTGTTTAGCTGACTGAAAGTATCAGTTCGAGTTAACAACCATCCATTGAACTACAAATCAATCGTTTGTGAATAACAGTCAAAAACTATTAAAATAATAATCAAAATGAAAGTTTTCGCTGTGAGTTGATAAAACTAATTGAATTTATTGATTTATGTATTTTCTCTGATTAAATATGGCTTTTCTCTCTCTCTCTCTCTCTCTTTGTGATTCTGTCAGATTTTCGCTCTTTTCGTTATCCTCGCTGTTTCTGCCACCATGGCTGACCCATGGAAGAAGGACAATCACTAGGGTGGTCATCATCAACACGGAAAAGTTGGATACAAAGTTGATGTAAGTTCTAGTTATTACTTCATCATGTCAATGGCTCAATTCTATTTTTTGTATGAAATATTAAACATCCTAGGTCCACCATGGTGGTTGGGGAAAACACGACAAGGGATGGACTGAACTTTACGATTCCCGAGACAAAAGCACTGGATGGAAATCACATGGTCATGATAACGGTCATGGTTTTGGTTATGGTCATGGTCACAATAACGGATGGAAAAACTAAGAAATTTTAACTCAATCGGATTAACTTATTTTGTTCATTTATCTTATTTATTCTTCTATTAATATTAATATGAATTCTATTTGTAATTTTAAGAAACATTAAGTCTAAGCTCGATCTCTGTTAATGAATTGATTACCATACAAATATCATAACGAAAAACTAATTTTATTCTGCAAAACTTTTACAAACAAAATTCATCAATAGATCGCTCGGAAAACGTTGGTCCTTAAAGTTTGGACAAGTTGTTTCGAGCTTGTTAGTAAAGCTTATAAGGGTGAAATTTGCAATTTAACCGGTCAAGAAAATTGATTAAGTAACTTATAACGTTGTTACTAATCAAATGGAACAATCTGATAGTCGTTGTCAATTAGAAATTGTTTTTTCTCGACATTAAATCAGTTGTAAAACTTATCGTTTACCTATGCTCGCAAAATAGCGGTTTAAATTGTAATGTCATTGAAATCCTAAGGACTTGTTCCATCTCCATAGAGAATTTGCCCCCTCACCGATTTTGTTGAAATTTCGATCCGATATCTTTTATCAACAATTACTAAAAGCTCATAAAAAATTACATCAGAAAAAATTATTTTTGTTCTGCTTCTCGATGACCTTAGTCTATATTAGCGATAAATCATAAAAATTGTAAGTTATTTCATCTTATCTCGAAAACGCATAGTGTTCGACCTAATTTTTTCTTTGTATACTAATAGGGCATCAAATGTTACATAGGTATATGCTGAAAAATTCGTGCTTCCATAAGCCTAAGGTGGCCTTTATTAGCCATTGAAAAGTCCGTTGTCAAAGGCCAAATAGAGACCCTCGATAGTATTATTTTTTTCAACGCCAATCAACAGCGCACATCATGAAACTGATATTATCGAAGAAAAATTGAGTCCAAATTATGTCTATATATCTCAAAAAGGCCATTTTCCGTGATTAAGGTAGTTTTTGCCAGTTTTCTCAAAAACGCATACCGATAGGTATATTTTTGACTTCGATTTATTGTAGAGCATAAAAAACTGCGTTAGAAAAAAGTATTTTCATTCTGCTTCCCGGTTGATTTAAGCGTAAGGTCACTTTTGAAGGTCTTTTTCCGCTGCCGTGAATTGGGACGAAATGTTTTCAGATTTTAAATAACACCATCTTATAGACAATAAAATTAGCTATCTATCGACACCAGAATTGTGTCTCTAGCATAAGTAGTTTGGCCATAAACACGCTTCAAAGTTTTTTTCGAAAAAATGGCCTAGCGCAAAAAGTATGAGGCTTAGAGAAAAACCTTTTCAGCCAAATCTATTTATTTTTTAAGCTCTATCTAAGATCGAAATTTCAACAAAATCGGTGAGGGGGCAAAAATGGAACAAGTCCTTTGCAAAAAGACCTGATTAATATACGCATTTTTAGCCTAGATAACAAAGTTAAAAGGTTAATAATGAGACTGAAACACTACGTAAGACAAAATTTGTGCAGTTGAAGCTATGAATTCGTTGAAACTTTGGCCTCCGCCTCAAGTGTCATTTTTTTGTTTAAAATCAAACGGCTTAAAAGTATCAATTCTAAAAAGAAAACTATTAATGGAATTAATATATGCACCATTTTCTAATGTTGAAGTTAAGCTCTTATTCACATTTAATATAAATCGTAATATTTTGGAAAAGACTTTTAGAATCGAAGTCTAAACACATGAAATGGTCTAAAACTTGATTCCGATCCGTTTGGTATATGCTTCTATAAGTATCGATAAAATAATTCTATCATTCTGACACTAAAGGTACTGATGAAAATGCTCTTGATCCGAGCACCAGAAAGTGTCAAGGCGGTGAATTTCATGTCAATATGATTGCAATTTGATTGTTTGTTGATTTTCTGGTTAATTCTGATTTTTATTTGGTGTTTTTCTCGACGATTAAATTGTTCTGGAATCAAATGAACTTACAAGTTTAACGTAATTTTAATCTTATCGGTTGAAGACAAACCAATAATCAAATGTTTACATGAATTCTGATAATGAAGTTTCAATAAAAAGATGACGAAATAACAATAATTAACAATCATGGTTAACACGATAATTTGGACTCTGTGATAAATTATCGTTAATTGTTAAACCATTACTTTTTCAAATGTTTACAAAGATTTTCCTTCCTTCTTTGGTAGCCAGCGGGTGATGATCTAAATGGAATCGAGAAGATAAAATCGAGTTACAAATTGATTTCAAAAATTGATTACGATTTACTGATTATCTCACCTTAAGATATTCCCAGAATTTTGAGCAATTTATCAGGAGTTGAACATGATTTATCTGAGCGTAAATTCTCATTGAACTGAGCCAATTTGTTTGACGAGAAAAGAGTCGATTCTCGTTTCCTAACCGCGTATTCATTTGGCATTAACCATTTGTGATCTGAACATTCCTCGATCGTGGGTCGTTTTCTATTCAATTTCAATGAGTAAAACGTTAGTTGAACAATTCGATTGTGACCTTATCGTGATTCTAATACTTACGATGGAGATCGTTTAAAGACTAACATAAGGAAACGAATGGCTTCTTGAGTAACCTCTTTATACAAATGATCGAAATGGTATCTAACATATGAAACGTTCTCGATCGTTTCCTCTTCCGTTTCACCTTTAAATGGCGATGCACCGCTCAGAAGGATGTAGGCCAATATACCGACACACCAAATGTCAGTTGCTGTTGACACTTCTTCTCGTTTGATTATCTCAGGAGCTGAAATAAAGTAAATAGAGAGAGTAAGTTATATATATAGTTATATATAATAAATTGATAGATTGTCTTTCATATTAAAAGTGAAAGGGTTGATTATTAATTAGTTTAATTGTACGAACCTAAATATTCAGGTGATCCTTTTATTGTAACTTTGGTTCCATTTGGTGGGACGTGTCGAGCATTGGCAAAGTCGATTAACTTTATGTTCGGGAAATGGTTGTTAATGAGAACGATATTATCGGGCTGTAATTCGAGCATACAAATTCCCTGGAAATGTAGATACTCAATTCCATCGAGAACTTGTTGAATTATTCTAGTGACTGTATCTTCAGAATAAACTGTCGATTGAGATAAGTAAGTGAGCACATCGACCCCTGAGAGTCTTTCCATTCCCAAAGCGATTGTATCAGACCCACAGGTAGCGGAGTAAAGACTAACGATCCTTTCATGACATAAAGATTTTAACATTTCGTATTCATTCATGATTCCAGAAGATGCTTGATTTTCAACTAGACAGATTTTAAGGGCTAAAGGTTTTTCCGTTTCCTTACACGCAGCTTTAATGATTACTGAAAAGTGACCTCGAGCAATCTCATCGGATGATGTGTGATAAAGAGCTGTGGGTTCTATTCCTTGTTTCATTTCTATCGGTTGTCGTTCTCGAGAATAGTCAAGATCAGGGGCAGCAAGTTCTTCCCATTTAGCTTCGGTCAGAGTTTCACCAATGAGAAGTTTTTCCTTTTGACCTCTAGGTAAAGATATTCGAACATCAGAGCCAACGGGTGCCGTTGTTGAGGGTTCAGAGGGTTCTGAGAATTCAGACCAACCGAATTTATTTTTCGCTTTCACTCTGAAAGTATAACTTGTTCCTGGAGATAAATTTCGAACAAGATAAAATTCTTGAGATAATCTATCAACTAGTATATTCCATTCATTGGTTCCATGAATTGAATATTCTAATGAGTAGGATGTTATCCATGAATTTCCTAATCCTTTAGGTTGAGACCAGACCAGATAAGCTTCGGTAGCTGATGTGCCTCGAACCTCGGGGGGCTCAGGTTTCTCTGGTGCGGTTCCAATTCGCAGACGAGCGCGACAGAAAATTGCACCATGTTCATTGCGAGCAACACATTTGTAGCATCCAGCATCATATGCATGAACTGGATTGATAGTTAACTCTACTCGACCTGAAGACAATTGTTTCACACTAATTCGAGGTGATTCAATGATGATTCCATCATTACGGAACCAAGTGTACGTCGGTTTAGGTTCACCAACAGCGAAACAGCTGAAAAGACCAATTGAACCTTCGGTAACAACAACATCTTTGATCTTTTCACGGAAAAATGGTGGTACTATTTTCACGGAAACATCTCGACCCAAATGAAGAGCAGCTTCTTGTTTCAACTGGTGAATTTGACCATAAGCGTAACCAGGAGTACCAATTTCGTGCTGTAACCTCATCGGGACGGTTCGAGTATCTAAACCTTTACGTTCATCTTCAATTTCTTCGTCCATTACCTCAACGAAACGACGACGTTCACGAACTGCAACCTGAGGAGAACAACGTTGACCAATTCCAAGCTAAAATTCAATTTCGAACAAATCAAAAGAAAGAGAGAAAGAAAGAAAATGGATCCCGGAAACGGGAGAAGTTAAAAGTAAATTTAGTTGCGTTTAACTACAAACAATTAGTACAAATAACTTATTTCGAATTAGTCAACATGCAACAATCTAAGGAATGGTTTCAAGGTCATTTCGAATTAGAATCTAGTCTCATGATAGAGAAGGAGATTCAAGGTCAAGTGAAGAATCATGCTAGTCGTAAGCGAAGCAATATAATCCCGAATAGTGTTCTAATTAAAAGTCAGATCGTTTACCGAAGTTTAAGTTTTCTAAGGAAATTTACTCGGTCTCAATGCGATGTAACGTTTTTCTATTAATCGATTCTAAGAATTTGTCTCGAGAAAAGACCGAAATGATAACAGATAAACAACTTATGGAATCGCGTAAATGAAAAACATCAAAAGTATCATAAGTACATTGAATTTATTTAATCGAAAACAAAAAAGTTCTAATCAACAAAAATATAGTTTGACAGTAATTATCATCTAGGAATTAGTTTTATCCATGAAAGGACATTAAGATTATGAAAAGAACAGTTCAAAATATGATGATGACAATTAATATTAGTTTATCAACGAAATCGAGTTGATCGAGTTAGGGAACTGTTTTTGTACTAATTGATAGTTATTTTAACGGGGAATAATGAACTCAGGAATACATTGGTGTAACTGTTGTCGTTGTTTCGATTGGGTTTGCTCGAGGCTGTTTATAACTTCGCGAACAGTTAACATTAAAAGGAAAAGGGAGTAAATGAAAGCAATGGATAAAATGGTATCACTACGAAGCAGGAAACGGAAACCATTGGATAGGAAACGCTTGTAACTTACATTAGTGTCCCCCCAATGAGATGAACGAAGGCTATTCGCTAAACTTGGACTTCGACTGGCTCCAACTCGAAGGTATTCCCGAATACGAAGTGGAAAGTCAACATCACGATGTGGTAATAGGTAAGTGTCCGGTCCAGATTGGTATCTTAATTGGATGATTAGTTGATTGTAGAGAAAGACAAATCGAAATAAAAAGAAAAAGAAAAGTGAAATACAGAGTGACAATAATTGCACGAAGCGAAAATTGTTATAAACCAATTAATAGATTAATTTAATGATCAACTGAACGCATCAAGGGAAATTAAATTTTCTAATCAACCAATGATTTTAAGGAAACGATTAATCAATCAGTGTTCTAGTGATGAGTTTTTTCTGCTAATAATTATAATTTTTATTTCTCATGATGGTTAATCCTAAACCTTTGGTACTTAATTTCTTGAATCAGAATCTCATATGATAATCATTTCGAGTGAATTTTAATCTTAATGGAAAGACCATAAAAATCATTTAATGATCATTGAATACTCATGGAATCGATAATTTTTTCAGTCAATAATATTAATACTTGAAGCTTTATTTTGATATCATTTGATCATCTTTTGAGCAATTGAAGTTTAAGGTAATGAAAATCATGGATTGTTAATTGTTACAAGTTTTGAGTTAATTATGTGCGATTCAACAGTTGTGTGAATGTCTTACAAGTTTTGACAATTTAGGCTAATTGCTTTACTGATTAGTATGGTATGGGAATGTAAATGTTAATTGTTTTTATATTGAAAGTTGAAAGAGTTAATTATTATTAGGTAGATTAATTATAAGATTTTTCAATCGATAATTTTAGTTCTGAAAGTAAATCTTTATATTAGATAAAATCGGCTACGTGGCAATCTTATCACACTGTATTTTCCCATACAAGTTTTATTAGAAGGTGAAATAGCGCCAGAATCATAGATTTGGGTAGAAAATGGTGAATGGATCTAAACTGTTCTAAGATTTATTAATATGAGAATTCTGAGTAGTTCTAGTGGAATCATTAAATAGGTCGAATAGATTAGAAAGGGAGAATTGGACTTATTTGGACACTTACTGGCTTTCGGACGTGAAGTTTGCTGGATCGTATCCTGGTCTTGGTGAAACTGAATCGTCCATTTCGCTTGGTTTGAACTTGGGCTTGTGGTCAACAACTGGAGGCTCTGAGGGTTTGTAGGGTTCATCGGGAGGATAGATCATTTTACTTGGATGTTCAAAGCAGTAATCCAGCGGATTACGACGATAGTATTTTCTGCACGAAGCATTTTTGTACTGTAACATGAGAAAATATGAGAAATTAGAGATCGATTATTATAAAAAATGTGATCTATTACAATTGATACTAACCCAATCTCTCCATTTTTTGAGGTACTCTTTCAAAGCATCTATACAAGGTAATTTGTCTTCTCTATGATTGATCGAATCACCTGAGATCCATCTATGTTCAAGCGCTTTTTTTACATCCAATCGTTTAGTTGGGTCGATGATCAATAACTTGGAAAGGAAATCCTTAGCATCCTCTGAGACATGGACAAAAGTCTCATGAGAAAAGCTGATCTTGCCCTCTTTCAATCGGCTCAATGTCTCTCGGTCATTTTGCCCCAAGAAAGGTGAGATTCCAGTCAATAAAATATAAGTTAAAACACCAACACTCCAGAGATCGGCGGCGAGGCTGATTGGCTGTTTATTTACAATTTCAGGAGCAACGAATTCGGGATGACCGTATTCAAGAATTACCGATTTACCAGGGATGAGACGACGAGAAAGACTGAAATCGGCGATCTTAACATCTTCACCGTCGATACGTTCTAATAAAATATCACCAATCTGATAGAAAAATGCACATTAGTTAATAATCTAAATACAAATTCATTTAAAAGATTTTGAGAATTAAAGATTCTTACTGTTAATCCGAAATGTCCGATTTCTCGACCATGCATATGATTAAGTCCTTCTAAAATTTGGCGAATATAATTTGCGATTTCTTTTTCTGTTAATTGGCCTCTTCCAACGATCGCTTCAAGAAGTTCGCCACCACCGCAAATATCAGTGATAAGCGCCAGTGTCTCTTTATGGTCGAAAGCATCCCAAAGTCGAACCAATTTCGGGTGGAAAAATTGATTCATCATTTCTAATTCTCGATCCATGAAAGGTTTTGTATCTTCTTTCCCGTGCATCATTTTGATCGCATAATTATTGCCGCTCGCTCTTTCCACAGCGTGATAGGTTACACCTTGGGTTCCACGGCCAAGCTCATCGCCGAGATCATAATAGTCTTCTAGTGCTTTTTTACGAGGTCGAATAACTCTCGGTATATAATTAGCCCAATTGAATAAGATTTCATCGTCTAATGATCAAGAAAGAAAAAGCAAATTGTTAGCTTTGTATACATGCATTTCTACAATATGATCAATAATAACCTTCGATCGCTAAATTGGCTGAACAAGAAGCTGAACCGACAACGTTTGTCGCGGTCACTGAATAAAGACCAGCGTCTCTCGAGATGGTTGAATTTATGAACAATGTTGATCGGTTTTCGGACTCTTCCCATAAGATTTTAGTTCGATCTGAATCATGGATTGGCAGCCAATCCTTGAACCATTTAACTGTCGGCATTGGGATTCCTGTGACTTTACACTCCATTCGTGTGGACTTATAAGCCATTCCCGTTGTTTCCTTAAGTCGCAATATAAAAGATGGAGGTTCTAAGGAAATGAGAAGATAAAAAAATTTCTCAGAATTTTGTTAATAATCCTCATCTATCGATCGATATGATTCAGATTGATATTTTTTACCTGCTTGTAGTAATTTAATCTTCTTCCATGCTTCACCATGTTCGTTAGTTGCATGACAAGAATAAGTACCAACATCCTTTTCGGTCATTCGATTGATGAATAGACAAACCTTTCCGTTTCTATCCTTCATAACATCATAATTACCAGTTCCAATTTGTATCTAATAGCAATCGAAATAGTTAATAACCATGTCAATCCTTTTTCTCAAGTAATTTACCTCAATGTCATTAAAGAACCACTTTATATCTGGCTCAGGATAACCATAGACCCAGAATATAATAGTTACAGGTCGACCTCTGATTCCATACATTTCATCGTCCTCTTTTCTCAACCATCGTGGAGCACAGGCTGGTAAGTATTAAGATATAATAGAATTGTAAAAGTTATTTATTCTCAATTTTTTAAATTTGATCGATTCTTACCAATTTTATCAATCGGTGGTCTTTCAATCTCATAGTCTTTAGGTTTAGCATCAGGATCGATAAGTTTACTTCTGAAAGCAGTTACGACTGGTGATGGATCGGAAACGCCGAGTTTATTTTCAACTCGAACACGGAAACTGTAATCTTGACCTGGTTCTAAATTTCGGATATCACATCGATTATCTAAGATTCCAGTTCGATAGGGTTTCCAATCTGAATCGCTATATGGGTGTTTACACCAATCTAAAGTGTATGTTACAGGAATTCCGGAATATGAGGGAATCGCGGGTTTCCAGCCGAGTGAAATTCCAGTGTCCCACATTCTTATGATTCTTGGCTTTTCGAGAAGCCCAGAAGGCAGGCCACTTCGTTTGCTAAGTTCTTTACCAACATCCATACTTCGACGACGATATTTCTTATCCATATCTATAAATTGAATCGATTGATTTATAATAAATAAGTGATTTCAACAAAAGAATCAGGCAAAGTTTATATGTGATATTAGTAGAAGATTCTTACTATCAATTGTAAGTTTTGCTGAAGATGAATCGTTCCCATGAGGATTGGAAATGAATAATTGATATTCTCCAACATCAGCTGGTTCGACATTTCTAATAGTTAATCTCACGATTCCGTTGGTCTCGACATCGATCAAGTGCCGAGAAGTTGGTTCAAAATCTTTGCCGTCTTTAAACCTGAAATTAGAGTGCAAATAATAAAACTAAATTCGTGACAATTGGTAAATTTCATCAACTTACCATTTGAGTTCTGGCTTAGGATTACCGACAATACAGGCTGTGAACTTGGCGCTTTGACCTTCGGTGCATTCGTACTCATTGAATCGTTTTATAAATGCTGCAGGTTCCTCTTTAGTAGATCGATCACTGGAAAGATCAGAAGGTTTTTTTTTTTGGTATAAGAATCTATGTAAAAGTTCATAATAGTCTAGAACGGAAACAATTAATTACCTGACTTTAATTGAGCAACGAGTTGAGTCTGAGCCGACTGGATTTGTCGCTCGACACTCAATGGTACCACCATCGTTGGATGTTGGATTATTGATGATTAAACTGAGAAGATTTGATTCTCGTTTCAGCTGATATTTTAGTCCAGGTTCGATTAATTTACCATTATGATACCACTGAACCTCTGGTTCAGGATTACCAGAGACACTGCAGTTTAATGAGATCGGAGATTTGGTACCGAAAGTCGAATCAATCAGTTTCTGGGTGAATTTTGGAGGATCACGAGATCTAACGATTCCTCGACTTTTCGAGGAAATTGTTCCTAATGAGTTTCCAAGTTTAACTTCATAATCACCTTGATCCATTGGTCCACAATTACGTATCTCAAGACCAGCGCGTTTACCATCAAAGTATGGAACGATATTCGACCCTATGGTCAAAGGTTCACCATTACGGAACCACTTGACCTCATTGATTGGATTTCCTTCAATATGAGCCTCGAATTTCATTGTCTTTCCTTCATCGACCTCACAATCTGAAAGATTCTTAATCAATCGAGGTATTGATTCAGCCTGGTCGTTTTTCTTGGTTGGACCAACTGAAACATCACCTTCGGTTTTATTGGTTCCAAGTGGATTGACCGCCGCACACGAGTAATGACCTTTATCATTAGGTAATGTTTTAGTTATTATTAATGAGGAAACTCCATCGGGTTCATTTATTATCCGAAGTCGATCACCGTCCGGAATAATTGTTTCACCGTCTTTGAACCAAGTAAGTTCGGGTTTCGGTTCACCTTCGGTTTTTACCTCCAATTTAATAGGAAATCCATCAACCGCTTCGATATTTCCGTCCAAAGGTTTTACAAATCTAGGAGACTCTGAATCCACAAGGGAAAAAAGCAAATCAGAATAAGAGAAATGAGATAAATTGTTTAGATGATCAACTTACGATTAACTTTAATCGGTGCTGATGTTTTATCCTCTCCTAAATCGTTTCCAGCAACTACTGAGTAATTACCAGCATCTTCTGGTTTTACATCATCAATAGTTAAGCATTTGGTGTTCGGTGGTTTGTCTGTAAAGTGGTGACGATCATCAGGTTCGATTGGGTGTCCATCTTTCAACCATTTAACTTCGGGTGAGGGTTCACCAGAAACAGCGACAGAAAGTGTTGTTGGTTCACCGGCTTTAAGTGTCGTTGGTTTGAGACCTTCGTCGAAAGATGGTTTGGATAAAGATCGGGACAATCGACGAACGGAAACTGGAGCACTTGATCGAACTCTTCCTTCATCATTAGCTGCAGCCACAGTGTATTTACCTTCGTCATCAGGCGAAGCAGAGTTGATTGAAAGAGTAACAGTTCCATCGGGACTTTGACTCATAGTGATTCTCGAATTAGGTTTGATTTCTTCGCCATCTTTCAACCATTTTATATTCGGAGGTGGATGTCCATCAACTACTCCGGTTAAAACAAGAGGTTGACCCTCAGCTACATCAACTGGTGATAAATCAGCTGAGAAAGAGGGCTTCATGGTGGGTTTATCGACTGTCAGCTTGCCGGTAGTTATCACCTCCCCTGAGCTATTTGTCGCAATAGCTTTGTAACGACCAGCATCGTCGCCGTTACAATGGTCAAACATCAAACCTATGGTTCCATCAGGTTCACTTATGAAACCACAATGGGGATTGGGTGAGATCGGTTCATCGTCTTTAAACCAGCAAATTTCTGGTTTTGGATGGCCGGTAACTTTAGCTTCCATCTTAAAGGGTGACCCTTCTTTAACGGAGACATCGTGAAGATCCTCGATGAATTTGGGCTCTACATTTGGTTTTACAAATTCTTTCGCTAAAAATATAACGAGAGAGAAAGAGATGATGGTGAGATTGATTATCAAATGCTCTGAATTAGCTGAGAAACTGATCTACTTACGAGAAACTGAAACGTTGCTTGATGAGTTTACTTGATTTGGTCCATCGTTACCTACGACTACTTGATAAACACCGGAATCTTCGGGTTGAGCATCTTCAATGGTCAATATTAAAGTTCCGTCAGGAAGTATTTTAGTCTTGAGTCTATCGTTTTGAGGGATTTCTTTGCCATCTTTAAGCCATTTAATTGGTTCGTTTGTTGAATCATTGGAAAGTTTTGCTTCTAATTTCAACACATCGCCCTGTTTACCATTTAGACTATCGGGCAATCCTTTGATTAATTCTGGCTTCTCAATCGAAATCTTAGCTGTAGAATTTGCTTCACCGGCTTTGTTTTCAGCTTTACATGTATATTCACCAGCATCAGAACTTTTGAGATCTTTAAGTGATAGTTTATTCAATGTACCAACTTGTGAAACAAAAGCTTCAGACGATTCAATCAATTCAGAGCCGTTTTTGTACCAAGAAACAACCGGCGGTGGGAAACCTTTAACTTCAGCTTCTAAGGTTAATTCAGATCCTAATGAGCCAGAACAGTCAGTTAAGTTTTTAATGAACTTTGGAGGTTCAGCAATCAGGGTCAGTTTAACATCGGCCTCACTTGAACCTTCAATATTCTTAGCACTAACAATATAAGTTCCTTGAGTCGATTCGGAAGCTTTTTTAACATAAATACTGTGTTTAGTATCGGAATCAGAGATTATCTCAAATTCATCACCAGTCGACAATTTTACTCCATCTTTCATCCAAACTACTTCCGGTTTTGGAGACCCAGTAACTGTACATCCAATTAATGCAGTTGATCCTCTTTCGATTTCAATATCCTTTAACCCGCTGATCTTTGGTTTTTCAGCAGCGACTTTGATTGTTAATTTAGCTTCATCCTGAGCTTTACCAGAATCATTGACCGCCGAAACTGAATAACTGGCTTGGTCATCTGTTTGTGAACCTTTAACGGTCAATGAATGTGTATTGTTACCTAAATCTGAAACAATAATGTGCTCTGATGGAGTGACCTCTTTACCGTTGATTGACCAGATCACTTTGGGTGTAGGTGATCCGGTCACTTTAACGGTAAATGTAACATCCTCTCCCGATTGGACTGCGACATCAGTCAAAGGTTCAACAAATTTTGGTGCTTCTTTATTTTCTGTTTTAACGGTTAGATGACCAGTTCCAGAATCGACTCGACCAAAAGCATTTCGAGCGACAGCTTTATAATCACCAGCATCATCTAATTTAACTGATTTCAAAGGTAAACGATGAGTGATTCCATCGGCTTCCGATGTGGCCTCACATATTTTAAGGCCATCTTTGTACCATTCGACTTTGTCTGCGCCAGTAACTTGTACTTCAAGAGTAAGATCAAGGTCAGCCGAAACGGAGATGTCGGTCAATCCTTTGGTAAAATTAGGTGGACTTAGAACCGTAATTCGAGCTGAAGTGGAATCTTCGCCGATTTTATTTTTGGCTGAACATTTGTAAACACCTTCATCGACCGATTGAGCTGAATCGATAGTTAAACTGTAAGCATCGTCGATTTTACCGATAACCACTTTCTCCGAAATCTTGGTAATCTCTTGCTCGTCTTTGAACCAGGTCAGTGTTGGTTCGGGAACTCCGTCGACTTTAACAGTTAATGTCAACTTATCGTTCACATCAATATCTTTGTCTCGAAGTTTTTTAATGAATTTCGGTTCTCTCATAATCGTGAATGAAGCATTTGTCTCGTCATATCCATAGGGATTCTCTACAATTAACTTGTATTTTCCTTCAACCGATTCATCTGGTCGTCGAACAACCAGTTTGAATACTCCGATAGAATCATCGGACATTATTTTAAATCGACGATCAGATTCTGTGATTTCAATATCATCGATATACCATCGAATTGACGTTATCTTTGTTTTATCGGGCTCTTCGATTGAAGCTTTGAAAGTCACATCAAGATCGGTTTCTAAAGCCTCCAGATCTCGAAGTTTTTGCCCGAAAACTGGTTTCCTTTGATCGTATTGTTTAGATTCGTCTTTCTTAACATCGACAATTCCACTACTTCGAACTTCTCCTTCACTGTTAACGGCAACAATCGTGTATTTACCAGCAGTTTCAAGAGAAGCTTCTTTGATTCGTAAGATGAAAACACCATCTTCTTCTTCGATTATTTCGGTTCGTTTGGACGATTGACTGATCTCTTCTTCTTCAAACAACCATCGAACTTTAGGCCTTGGTGATCCACTGATTTTCACCTTAAGGTCTACATTGGTATCTCCTTCCTTACATTCGATATCTTCCAAACGTTTATCGAACGATGGTTTAGTAACAATTGTCAGCGAACCTTCTGATGTCTCTGATCCATATTGATTCTTAGCTACACATTGGTACTTTCCGGTATCTTCCACCGTTGTCGATCTTATTTTGAAACGATAAACTTCCGCTTCCTTTTCAGTTGAGATCTGACGGTCAAGTTTTTTACCATCTTTCATCAATACGACCTCCGGCTCAGGGTTACCTGAGACTTTCACCTTGAATTCAATGGTATCACCATCTTTAGCACTGACATCTTTCAATCCAAGTTGAAACTTAGGTGGAGCTGTTTAAGAAACAAAGTACAATTAGTTTACTAATTTCAACTCGACAAGAATAGACTTACAATTAACTGTGACAACTGATTGGCCTGTTTGCTGACCACAAGAATTGGAGACAATGCAAGTATAATTACCAGCATCTTCCAACTTAACGGGATCAATGACCAATGAATGAGTTTCATCTTTATCGACGATTTTGACCCGATCATCGAGTTTAACTGGTTGTCCATCTTTGAACCATTTAGCTGTGGGTGTTGGTGTCCCTTCAACGACAACATCAAGTGTCATGGGCTCATCGGTCATCACCGATTGATCTTTCAATTCCCGCTTAACTTTGGGAGCAGAATTAACTGTTAATTGACCAGAGGTTTCGACTTCTCCTAAATCATTTGATGCCTTTAAGCGATATTTTGAAGCATCATCTCGTCGAACTCCTTTAATCACTAATGTATAACTTTCTTCATCTTCGTATAAGAACTTGTACTTTTCATCGACTTTGATCTCCTCGTTGTCTTTATACCAAGTGATCAAAGGCTTCGGGTAACCCGTTATTTTAGCCTCCAACATGGCTGATGCTCCTTCGTTCACTTCAATGTCAGATATTGGTACTTTTACAGCGGGTTTTTCAGGTTCACGAAGTAATTTTCGAACCTCACCTTGAACGGAAAGTTCAGCCGAACAGGAAATTTTACCACTCGAAGTGGACGCAACACAAGTATAAAGTCCAGCGTCGTCTGGAGTAACATGTTGGAAGATGAGGGCAATTGTATCTTCTTCATCATCGAAAGTACATTGAAACCTTTCACTAGCCTCGAATTCTTGCCCATCTTTAAACCATCGAAAAGCGGGTGTTCGAGGCCTAGAACTTCTAGAATCCGCTCGAGAAATGTCCAAACTTTCTGGTTCGCCCAGGAAATGATCATCTTCCAATCCTTTGAAAATATCTTTGTGCTCTGAAATCAGAAAATTTTTATATATGGTAAGCAATTAGTTCTAATAGTAATTAAACAGATAATCGATTATCAATTCATCATCATAAATATTAATAAGGAAAAGAAAGCAAGAAAAGGTTCAAGAATCGAGAATCATTTGCGAGAAAACATTTACCGAGAGTCAGAATTTTGTAAGTTGAAGGAAAAGTTCTGGTGAGATATTAATATTTGAATTGTGACTGATTCGAATCGTTTTCTCATTCGAATGGGTATTATTTCATTAATAACTAATTTCGCAGTTAATTTGATACTAATATTTGGTTCTCATATGAAAGTACCTACTTGTAATTGTAACCTTGCCACTCGTTGAGTCTTCACCGTGAGTATTAATGGCGATCGCCTTATAAACACCAGCGTCTTCAGGTTTAACATGGTCAATAAATAATTCAAAAATTTCCTTATTTTCATAAATTATTCTCACTCGATCATCTGTAATTAAGGGCTTATCATCTTTATAACTAATGATTAAATATAATCAACGTACGAAAGAGGAAGAGATAAAGTAAAATCATATATTAACATGGCGAAATCGAAATCGAAATCAATTAATTGTGTTACCATGATGATTTAAATTCTAGTTAACAATTAGTCGGTTAAGATAATAATTTGTTTATAAAACTAACGAAAAACTAATTCTTTTATTAGAAACCTATTCTAATTGTGAGTTGGTTCTATTCACTGGTTAATCAACTAGTTAATCGACCGATAAGTGACCTTACAATGTAACATTTGGAATGGGTAATCCTCGAACAATCATCTCAAATCGAACTGTTGTCCCTTCTAATAACTCGGTGTCCTTGAGTTTAATCTTGAACTTTGGTGGGTGAGGTAAAACTGAGCCACCGGGTGTAGTTGGTCTAGAATCAGGTTTCAATGAATCTAAGACCAGTATGGGTATAAGAGAATGCGATTGAAACGATTGATTGGAAATTGAAATGACAAAATAATAAACAGTTAAAAGGCTAAAATAATAATGGATAGTAATTAGAATGACTAATCTAATTGGGATTCTAACCTTGTTTAACATTCAAAGCAGCACTTGAAGACGTTTTTCCCTTATCATTTGAAGCTATAACGGTATAAAGACCAGAATCGTCATTGGTGATTCCATCAATCGTCAAGATAAACTTGTCACTCGAAGTGATAAATTGAACATTTTCCGATTCCCTTAACTTTGCATTGTCTTTCAACCAGGTAACATTTACAGGAAGTGCTGATTTAACTTGACATTCGAGGACAGCTTTTTCTCCAACTATGTATTTATATACATAAGTGGTCAGTTTATTATTGGATGGTGATGGTCAGTGAAAAGCATAAATGGAAGCATTGGAAGTTGTGAAGCATTAAAGCAAGAAAAGAAAGAGATGGAATCAAATATTATTTGAGATGAAGAAAATTTTGAAGAGAAGGAAATAGAAAATGAACAAACCATGTTGATTAACGGGCTTGAGTGGCTGTCGAAAGACTGGCTTGGCTTCTAGATCACAAGCTGAGAAATATAAAGAATCATCATCCTCTGAAGCAGAAATAAACTCTACATGAAGAGAAGACACCAAGAGCCAGAGAACGGGAAAGGATCGAGACGAAGAGAGAAAATGGATAACGGTAACCCAATTATGACCTTATTCTCAGAATTCTGGTAATCAGTTATCTAGTTAACTAAATTCTCAATGCTATTACTCTCATACGTGACCTTTTTTGTCCTTCGAATATAAATTGAGGTCAAAATCACAAGGTTTAACTGCTCAAAACTAATTGTAATTATTGGTAAAATTAAACTGTTACGATTGGAAAAAGGATCCTATGCAAAGGCATCTTGAAAAAGGAATTGGATTTGAGCGCAGTTTCTTAATCAATCAAACAGGGAGATTGATGATTATCATTATGATTTATATTTAATCTTGTATTTTGGTCATAATTTGGCTTAGTTATCCGAATGAAATTGAAGCCATGCAATGAATAATCAAGCTCATGTTATCAATATCTCACCGTTAGTATTTAGATGATAGTTGTTTTCCATGTAAGGTATGAATGGCAAAGTTTGAAAACAGAATTATTATAATATAATCAGATAATAAACTAAGCAATTTAATTACGGAATCAGAATTTAGAATCAGAATGCTATTTAAAGTAGTTTTATTGACTTTCTAACAGTTAGAGTTATTTTCGAAATTTTTTCGATAGTATTTAATGTGGTTAGAGTATCTCATTAGCTATTGATAATTGTTTTCTACAAATTTTTTGATTCTTCTAAATTATCAACAAGTGACGCAATATCCGGTTCGAACTTTGTTCTAAGTTTCCGGTTTGAATAAATGAAATTTTCTTTTTGTAACTATTTTTAAATGTGACCATAAGACTCAGCATCTTATTTAGAACACGGGCCAGGCCACTAGCTCTTTTCATTCGAAGTTTTTAACATTTTTCATGGCTATCTCTAAGAAAGTCGACAGTTTATTTTCGACATGAGTTCGAAAAATCAAAGTTTTAGTCCTCTGATATCATGGAATAGTCTTGAAAAAATATCAAATTAGAGCTAAAAAGTTTCTCATTAATAGTCTATAATTTCAATTAAATTAGTTGATTATTAGAGTAACTGGGGCAGTTTGAAAATATTAGTCCCAAACTTTACCGTCCATACCTTATAATGTAACTTGTTATGTATTTAATCAAAGGGTGCGATTGATTTTTACCAAGATAATTATTTGATTGGACAAAAAATGGTCACAATTTAAAATAATTTTAGTAATTAAAAGTTTAGTTGTATCGATGAGCTTAATTAGGGATTTCAGTTCTATTAGAAGGTGATGGTTAAGGTTGTGAGTTATGGTGATTAATGTGCGGTTAAATTGTTAGAACTTTTATTCGGTGTACCTTCGATATCGGTGACTGAACCAGATCGAAGAGATTCTGTCATAACAGTGTTGCTTCCATCGTTTGTCGCTAAATCTTCGGCAAGGCCAACTTTAGTATCGATATCACTTGTCACTTGAGATCCACTTAATTGTTGCAGAGTTAAATCTTCACTTAATGGTTCAGGAGTAATACCTTTGCTGATATCATCTAATTTAAGACAATCAGTACCATCGTCGCTTATTTCAGGATCAGGAATATCAGCGAGTTCTTCAATTGCTGTGGAAAAGAATGAGAAAAAAATATTAGAATAAGCTGATCGAGTGTATCGTTGGAATCAACATTTTTACCTAATTTTCGGACATCTTGAATTTCTTGTTTCCATGACTTGATTATCTCCGCTGTCTTGGCTTGAAGTTTAAATGGAAATCCTTTGACCCCTGGTTCTTTGTGCTGGACATTGATTGTGAGATCGTCAACATCTTCAAAGTTGACATCCTCCAACTAAAGTGAAACATTATCAAGATTTTCAATGAAACTTTAGCTCTGAAATTTATTTCTCATTAATTTACCTTTGTAATTGTCTTAATTACATATCCTTGACGGTCTTTAGCTAAATTGACAACATCAGTCGTAATTAACTGTCGAGTAAATAAGAAAACATATCGTTCAACTGGTTCAGAACTTTCATCCTGAATAACTTGAAACCAGTCCTATTTACGATGATTAAGTTGATGGAAAGAAGAAGGAAAAAAAAATAAGATGATTTAATGATCTAATTGTTCCAACAGGGATTAGGTCTAAGGTGAGATTAAATTGTATTAAGGATTGAACAGCATTAGTTTGTAAATCGCCACAAATTAATCGCTAAGAGGAAAAGGGAGGAAAAGGATTAACGGAATAAAAATCGGACGATCTGTAGTATATTGCATTTCGTTTGAAGCATTAAAATATTACGTCGACTTGATTACATGACCGAACCAACATGAGATTGGGCATAAGATCATTCATCCAATTCAATCAAAAACTTTTTCTTCCTTCAAGTGAGAAGTTGAATCAACAAAAAGAATGAAAATTTCACCTCTTACCAATGATGAAAGCGATCGAATCGGTGATTAATCTATTATTTGCCAGTCTCATGTTCAATTTTTCGTAGTAGTTTTGTCTTCGCAATTTGTAAAGCTTAATAATTAGCGTGATTTATAATCAGCTGAGTTAATAGATTATATTTTTGTATAAAGGGTGTGAAGCTGATAGTTTTATGTGAATCTAATGAATAGCGATGAACCTAAATTGACTTCCAGCGCAGTGCTAAGCCTTGCAATTGACATTTACTGTCCTACAAATAGTCCGATTAAGGTGAATAAGGTGAAATTGTAACTTAATTTTGCTCGTAATACATGTTTCAGGAGACGACCAGATTTATGAAGATTCCCTTTGTAACCTATCATGTTGTTGATGAATTGAAGATCAGTGGCACGTTGGGGTATCACTCGCATCAGTTCAAGGGCTTTGCAAAGGTCACCACTGTCTTCACCTAATCTATTTGAGTATTTGATGAGCTCCTGTGGATCAAATAGAATGAGATTGAGTTAATAACAGAGTGAAAAGATTTCGAGAATGGGCTTTTCTTACCTTGAGCAATAATTGGTAATCATTGATCCGCTGAACAGGTAACTTGAGGTGATCAGCAAGACTTTTGTCATCTTTGATCTTACTACTGTAGTTCTGTAGGGATGGTGAAAGAATATTAATAAATGATTGAAACAAAAAGTTCCAAGATTCTTATCTTATTGACTATTACATACATCGAAATAATCCTTAAGTGGACCTGATTCGAGTAATTTTTGAGCTTGTGGTAAATCGTGACAATATCGAACATGTTTATCGAAATCTCTTTCTAGTCTTAGGAAAGTATTTCCAACTTTGGATGGATCTTCAGCAGCGTAATATTGAACTCCCTTCATGAGAACATCGTTGTGGAAATCGGCGATTTCTTTAAAACATCCGAATAGAGGAACCTTTTGATCTCGCAACTCTTTCGGCATAATTGAACTGTCCATGTGCTTCAAGTACGTGTTCGCAATGAACTGCATATCCCGATTGAAATCTTCTTCCGTTTCAACCAATTCTTTGAGTACATTTCTGGAAGTATTCGTGGCCCAAATAAAATATTAAAGGTAAGAAAAATATTAAATCTCAACTAGAAAATAGATATGGTTGAAAATTTTGTCTAGATTAAGTTTAAGCTTCGGATTAACTTGAATCCTGATCAACCACAGATAACGATTATAAATTTGAATATGGAAATTCTATCTTTTTAGATATCAAAAGTCTCTGATTTTGTTCTTAAGGCTAATACCTGAAAGAAGATTAACAGAAAAAGATAATCAAGAAGCTTAATCTTTGGTTGAGAAATTAATTGATTAGGACGATTCGATTATTGGGTAAAAAAATTGGATTCTTACTTTCGTCTCTTTTTAGCTTCTTCAATTTTTGGATCAATCTCTTCGGGCTCATCTTCGGCTACAGGGTGACTTGGGTCATAGGGTGTCTTCTGTTCCAGATAACATGATGGAACAAAACCTTCCTCGGAGATACGATTCTGTTTACATGGGCGAGTTTGAACTTTCCATCTGAGGAAGAAGAAGATAAAAGTAATCAGATTAATCGTCTAGATATCAAGATAGATGCTAATAAAAGTGTAATAATAAAACTTGGTTTTCGATATCGAGTTTTGCCAATTGGTCAAATTTTCTCTGATCAAAGGCGTTGGTCCAGTTTTTGAGGTTTTCTAAGCAAAGAGAAAAGTGAATACTCTGTGTAGATTTAAAATCTTCGGGGCAAATTTCTTAATGATCTGTTATCATCTCCCAGGTTCTAATGTCAAACCTGTATGAAGATAAAAGTAGGTGGTCTTCTTGAGAGTATCAAAGTGGCCAAAGGTCAAGCTTTATTCATTGACCACAAAGTTTATTCTGAATTGGAATTGGGATAAATTTGCCTTCGGGCTTTTGGCATCCATATTTTGAGTCCTTTTTTGATCGAAGCTATTTAAGGTCAGTCTTTTCTTAAGTGCTGTTCATTTTCTGTTCGAGCTTGATACTATTCACTTAAAGTAAACATATTCTCTGCATTCTGTGTCTTAACCGAGTGTTTTCATCGCTCCATCTATCTAGCACCATGCGAATCTTAATATCAATAATTTTGTGCTTAGTTTGTAAAATTCCAGGTTCAAATCAATCTTTAATGGACACGCTAATGTCACCGATAAACTGGATGATGCAAGCAGCAACGCCAACCGACCAAAAGATTGACAAGTTGATATCTGAGGCTCTTGTTGATGAGATTGATTCAGTATCTGGAACTCAGTCCTCAGAGGATCTTTTGCTGACCACTATGATCCCTCCAACTGATTCACCGATAGAAACAACTTCTTATCCGACATCTTCATCGTCTTTATCTTCAAAATTATCTTTGACATCTTCTCCTCCAACAACAACCAAACTACCGACAATAACAGCATCATCAACAACAACACCGACACCAATTCCCATGAATCATGATCCAGCCTTGAATTTGGTGAAAATGTTGGCGAATTTAACAACTAACAGCCTTGGTACTCGAACAGATCGTCCAGAAGGATATGATGAGGACGAGGAACCGCAACCAGTTTATACTTCAGCAGATTCTGACCAAGAAACAGAAAATGATGAATACCGACCTCACTTTCAATTTCATTCAGAGTTAGCGAAAGCTTTAGGTGTTCTTCATGACAATCGAAAAGTTGTTCCAAATAGATTGTAGAAAATAATATAATTTTCTGTTATTCGAAATCAAATTCAATCTGTACAACCCATTTAAACTTGAAATGAAAAAATCAAGCATTCATCTTACCAGTAATTATCCTTTACAATAAATTGCTATCAGTTGTGATTCATATTCATTAACTTACTTGTGGGGTTTATCTTTATTTAAAACGATAACTTCTTGGCCTTCTTTCAGTTCAATTTCATCTTGAGCTGATTTGGGTGGACTGTAATCCAATACAGCGACATAGATGTTTTCCTAAACGAAGGAGGTTCGATATGAGAAAAATTTTACGAAAAAAAGAAATGATAATTAATGTCTTTGGGAAGAAGATCCTTCACCCAATTCATGTGAAGCATGAAAGGGCAACTAAAAAACGAGAAGAAGATGTGAGAGTGAAGATAATGAGGAAGATAAAAGGGGGAGAAATTCTGGCGAATCTAAAGGATGACTGGAAGAGGTAAACATGGCGCTGATAATTAATAAGGAGATGATATTGAAATCACTCAGCATCAAATGGTGGTTTTGATGGAGCAAAAAATTGAACATTTTGAGCCTTATTAAGTTGGTTGAGAGAGATGATTGCAAAATTGTACTAATAATCTAATTCTGAGTAAGAGGCATCGAGAAAATTGAAATGAATAATTTCTCATCTTATGAATTAATTTTCTTTTTCTAAGTTATCGAAATTGCCAAGAATTTTTTCTCATTCTTGTTATCCATTTATTCACAAGGTAAAATGTACAGTTTAGTATAACCATCTCTCCATTGTCTGTTATAAACATCGCAAGTTCAATGATATTATACAGATATTCACCATGAAATTATTGTTTCCGGTTGATAATAAGAGTTAAAATTTAGAAACATGGAAAGATAAAGAGATGAGAGAAACAACTTTGCTTTTTTATAATCTAATGTTAAGATTAGTTTACATTGGAAATACTATTTATAACCAAATTAATCTAACGAAGAAAAGTAACTCGAACAGTTTGTTAAGATTAACCCACCACTCAATCAACGACTTCAAGCTCTCTCTCTTCTCATCTTCTTCCTTCTCCCTCTCTTCATCTTCCCTCTGAGTAAAAATATACACGAAACAAAAAGCATCTTCATGGTGTCTTCATGATACGCATTCTCATTAATGGTGACACTTTTTTGTATTAGAAATTTTTATCGAGATATTTGGTTATTGTCCGGTGATTTGAACTAGGAAATTTGATTCGATTCTTACCTCATTTATTGTCGATGATCGGGATTTTAATCGAAAACTTGGTGATACTGGCCGATCTTCATCGAGAGCTGATGCTTTGTATGACTTATATGAATCTACTCTGTCAAGAGATCGTTTCCGGTTACTCGATTTGAAACTTCCTTCATCGGAAACATTAGATGATTGACGATAAAGTAGAGATGATTCTTGACTTTCTGACCGCTTGTAACGTCCACTTGCCGTTAGACCTCCGCTGCCGATGGCTAATCCGTCGTCCTCTGTAGATCCCAAACGACTCAGACCTCGTTTGGTTGTTGCACTTAGGCCATAGTTTTCGTCTTCAGTTAATTTTGATGTTATTCTTGATGATCTAATTGTGGATGCAATTCCACTGCCACTCGTGTCCAGGTCATCTTCCAAAGCTGCATAGATTCGACCTGAATATTTTCGCGTTGTACTTGAGCTTTCTTCTCCATAATCGCGAGATGTTTTCTTACTGATCAGATAATCATTTGAACTATCGTCTAGTCCATGAGATCGTGAAGTTTTTCTTGTGCTTAAATAAGAATCAACTCCTGTTGAAGAATCAAGATCAGCACTTAATCCACGAGAGTATTTCCGAGAATATGAACCAGAATCTTCTGTGCGACTTGCTGTACGACTTGCAATTCGTTTTGACGTTGAAAAATCATCATCAGAGTCTTTCCGATCATATAAACGACCAGAAACTCGAGAAGAAGATGTCGATTCAAAGGACTCCTCTCTAGGACGAGTATTTCGTCGAGTCGTTGAAAGACCGATATCATCTGAATCTAAACGCGATAAACGTGATCCAGTTCCTGTTCCAGTTCGTGATGTTGACTTATAAGAACTCGTGAAACCTTCATCTCCACCAGCAGCACCTCCTGAATTAGATAATGAGACAAAAATTAACAGAATTTCAAGAGAAATGAGTTTTTCCATCTGATTGAAAAAAAGGTCTAAATCGTAATGGACATTTGATGCGTTCGACAATTCGCCAACTTAACATTATCTTGAATGAAATCACGAATTCATCAATAAAAATAGCTTTCGATTTCTAGAAAACTAGGTTACATTTGATGACAAAGTTTATAAATGTATTAAAATGTGACCTTGAAAATTGAGCCAACATTTCATTAGAATTGTTGTTATCAATTAGGCTAATCAAGATTCTAAGTACATATTCAACTCTTAATCCCTGAGATAATTCAAATTAATGCGATACAGTTTTGATTGTTGAATTTATGTTGCAATAAATTAGTTGATAATTTGAGAAAATCATCTAAATAATAACAACAATCAACAAATAATAAAGTAAAATTAGTGAAATTTACCTTCACTTGAGAACCGATAGGACGATGATGATGCCCGATAAGATGAACGGGAATAAGACATGATTAATTAATTCCTTATTGATTTAATCCTTATTGGAACATTTTGTTAAGCTGATTAATAATACAAATTTTTTGGTGATAATAAATCAACAGGTTGAATATAACTTTAAATCAATTTGGTTGTAGCAATTAAAAGGTTATCACAGATTAAGAAAATGAACTTTTTTTGCACAATTTAATTGGTTTACAATCAATAGTCAATGAAAATTGTAGATGTTGTAACAATAAGTAAGAGTTGATGAGTTAATTATGTTTATGATTACGACAATTATGGTTTGAAATAAGTGTTTGTCTTGTTGTTGTTTGGATTTTCAAGATTTACTAACAAGATTCAATTTGTAATGAACATCCTTTGATTGATTGAATTGATTCACCAAATTGGTTTTGATGTTACCTAATAAAATAGAGACTCGAACTCAACAACCAACAGAAAACAGTTTAAATTATTCAAATAATTTTTCTCTTCTTGTTAAAAGAAATTAGAGAGAGAGAGAGAGAGAGAGAGAGAGAGAGAGAGATTCCAAGTTTTGACTGCAAAGAAAGAGGATGACGAGGATGAGAAGATGAGGGAAGATGAAGATAATATTCGTGGATGCTGTTTATGGAATTGAAAGGCTGAAACTTTGGTTAACAAGATTGCAAGAAGGTTGGTTAATGTACCATCATGATGATGCGTAAGAAGAAAGTTCTATTCGAGAGGACGAACGCACACTCTACACGTAATAACACGTATTCCAGGGGAAGAAGAGGGAGGCATGAGAGGGAGATGGAAGATGAGGCAGATGAAGTTGTAAAGAACTAGAGAGAGAGAGAGAGAGAGAGAGAGAGAGAGAGAGAGAGTAAAGTACTATTTTGAGTTCCATTGAATTTGGTACAATTTCTGGTGACAAATATTCTCAACTCTGTTATAACATTGGAAAACTTTTCATCATCATGTTCAGTTTTTTTCTTTTCTCTGGTTAGAGCCAAAGAACGTATTCTCTAAAGATTATATTCTCTTTGTCTATTTTTATTTCTTTTACTGTACTAGTCATTTTTGTTTTCTTCTCATTCACCTTCCACTTTTCTTAAGATGATCATGATGATCGTTTGAAGACAGAATCTTGTTCACACCTCATTTAGAATTATATCTTCCTGAACAGAACTTTTCTCATGTCAATAATGTGAGTGAGTTAAAGACAATTCATACAATATAAACAATTAGTGATCGATTTACTCGATTATTGTTTACAAATTGTGTCTATCAATTCATAAAACCTCCAAAGTAATAACATTTCAGCTTAGATTTCCTTGTTCGATTCAATTTGATGACAAATTAAAGAGCGAGAATATCTAAGTTTATTGAAGAGGATTAATGGAAATCGATTCAATTAGAAATTAGAAAGGAGAAAATTAAAAATTACTCTGAGCTTGTCAAGTTTGGTGGAAAAGCGTCAATTTGATTCTTGGTTCATTGAAATTGCCAAGTAGACGGAAGATGCTTGATAAGCAAATTATATCTTCATCCAAGTTAATAAGTCTGCATCAGGGTGAATTCTTAATTCTTGTTCCTTGTATCATTTCGTTGGTCCTCGAGTTTCCATCATTATCATCACGACATCAGCTCATTTTTTCTGTGGTTTTCTCTTTCTTTTCTTCCTTCATCCAAAAAAGATACACGATAATCTCTTAGCTTGGAGAAAAATACAACAACTACACGAGGAATTTGATTATCATCCAAACAACGAAGTTCAACAGTGAGAATTACAGAATAATAGATCTTAATCAAATCTTTTGTCATTAATTCAGCTTCATCAGGATTAAGAAGAGAAAATTAAATTACTTGAGATAAACAAAACAAGGAAAGTGATTAATGATAATGAGCTTACACCAAGCAATTAGAACCATCATAATGATTACATAGCCACGTTGATTTGGACGGAGAAAAAAGTTCAAACAATTAACCCTTCTAGGATATTCTTTCTCTCTCTCGAATCGTTCAATCTTAATAAAAGTTCACATGTGAGCGAAACTCAGTTTGGACAAAAGTTCGAAGCCATCAAATAGATTGAGCGAGTTGATTGTTTCTCCAGTTATTTTTGTCAACTCGACAGGTCCAATGTCTCCATTAACTTTTCCACTTAATTGATCATGTCAATCGTAAATGATCGTAAATTGTTCATCAATTAGATCGTTTTCGTTGGCGGTCATTTACAAGTTCGAGATAAATGTCAATAAATGTTAGAAATATGATTCGTTGAGATAATTAATAATTTCTCCGTCAGCATATTTACCAATGTATTTCAATTTTCTCTGGTAGTTATATTGTCGTTCCATAGAAGATAAATTGCTGAAATTAGAGTTTACATGATTTAGTAATAAACAAATATCTTATTACCTAATTCTCATGTTGAAGTTTAACCAGTTAATTGGTTAAGATCGAGAGAATCTTCGAGTTCAATAACATCCATGTTATTATCTATTCACTGTCTGGTTGTTAACTATCAAGAAGATACAATTATGTTTAATTTAACATTTAAAATGAAGAAAAAAGGGAAAAAATAACAAGTTAATTAGTTTCTTTTCTAATGTCAATGATAAGCTAAATCTCAATGTTTTGATAATTTGGTTGATAGAAAAACTAATTTCGTCTCATTCGTTGAGTATCTTAACGTACGTTCATCTCTAATCCGGTTTAAATCACTGATAGAAAACAAGATAATATAAAATAGGAAAATCAGGACAAGTTTAATTTCTTTCGCCCAATTAATTAAACAAACGTTCAAGATCAAAATCTTCGACAATTAACGTTCAGTTTTCTTTTAAATCCACAAATTTACGAACAGAGATGCTTGTAATTAGATCCCATGTGTTAAGCCTGTTGAAAGAGAAACAAGTAAACAAATGATTCCAAACGATTAAATTTTTGAGTAAGTTAATTGTTAACATAATTAGTAGAATATAAAAAAAAACATTGATAATCGAAACTTTGATTATTTCAGTTCATTGTTAATTCGAGTTTGTTATAACTCTTTTATCCTTGATTTCTTGAGTTGTTCAATCAACAGAGTTTATGGTGGTAGGTTTAAATTAAAGAATTTATTAGATTTGGTTGTGATCTTTTCCATTTAATCAGATTAATATGAGAACTAATCAAATGACATGATTGTTTAAATGAAGTTGATCAAAACCAAAGTGCGGATTGAGAGCCCAAAAGATTTTGTTTAAGAAATTGCCATTTCAAAGCGAAAGAGAAAGTGGTAGGTAAGGAAGGGAATTAAAGGAAGGCGAGGTAATCAACACCTACACTGGTGCGAAAACTACGACTACATTTACATTGAGTAACAATCGGGCTTGAGAAAAACGGGAAAGGAAAAAAATGATGAGCATATCAACAGTAAAAACCGTTCCTTGTGTTTCTCTTATTTTGAAAATTGAAAGAAAGCACATAAACTAATTCCGATAGAGAAAAAAAAACTTAATGAGATGAATTATTATTATTGGTGTTGTGTTGTTGTTGTTGTTGTTAGATCCTCGTTGTTGTTGCTGACTTGAACTACTACTTCTTAAAGTGTCACATCTACGGTAAAATAAAAGGTAAGGAACCCGCGGTGCTTGGGGATTCAACAATTGCTGTACGCTAATAGTTTTGACGTTAATGTCATCACATCTTAACCAATGGCTGCTGCCAATATGAAACAGGTCCGTTACATAGTGACCTTTAACTGACTCGTTACCATCATGGTAGATAACTAAAGGAAAGAGAGGAAAAGAGATGAGAAAATAATATTAATATTAAAATTAGAATCATTTATATTTACAATCAACACCTTATGCCGCCATCTATGAAATACAAATGACTAAATTTCTCAATGTGATCAGCATTTTTTTTTTGTTGTCTCGTGTTGAAAAAAAACATGGCTTCTTTTTCAATTAAAAAAGATTGAATCACTTAATGATTAAGCAATAATTAGTTTGAAAGTAACTTTTTCTTTTAGAAAACAAAAAATTCCAAAGATTAAATGACAAATACCCTCAGGGGTATAAAAAAGAAGCAATAATGTAATCATATGTTGAGACCATAAACTGGAACATTTTTGCTTCTCAAGAGTAATCAATTCTTGTGGTTTTGAGTGAGAAAAAAACAGTGAGATTAGTTGTGTTTGAGATTCTAAATGATACAATCAACTAATAATTGGATACTGATTAATTGGCAAAGATAGACTTTTGTCTCATTTATAAAGAGCATAAGAATATGATTGATTCAACTGAATTGAATTTAAATGTGATTAATATGAAGAAAGAGGTTCTTACCTGATAATAGTTTATAAGATTTAGAATATTTATTTTTATCACTTCCTCTGTCCATGTGGAGACACTCCCTTGGAAGCTCCAAATCAATTGGATAATCGATTTTTTTAACTAACTTTTTCGATCCGCCATCTTTGTCGTAAATGAATAGCTTTAAATGAAGAATCAGTATTGGTGGAAGTTGATCAAGGAAAGTCTGATAACTGGCGTCTATCGTTTGCTTTGTTTTAGGACATTGAAATCCATGAATTGACTCTCTCATTGTTAATGATTTCAGAGCATCTTCAACAGATTTTATCTTCTCAGACTGGAATGGAAAGAAAAATGAGAAAATGTCAACAGATTAGAAATGACATTTAACTGTTGATAGAAATGATCACAATTATATTTAACTCACTTGAATGTCCAGTTGAAGAGTGAAAAAAGGTTGTCTATTACCACATTTGTCGTTTCCAGCCGTTCTAACAGAAATCATTGATCCACCGAAAATATCAATGATTGGAGACTCATTAACTTTAGCCTGGTAGAAGATAAATTTTGAATTAATTGAAATGATCAAATTTAGTGAATATGTTGTTGTCAATTGTTTGTTGTTTTCACTTACTGATCGGGTTGGCAGAATTTTATGTTTTGGCCCAACAACGTTCCATAAATTTGAGTCATTCTCATCACTAGTTAATCTTTGATCATGAGTCTCATCTTCTGAACCATGGCCATTAGAAGTGATTTGATTTGATTCACCGTTTTGTGTTTTACTTTCGATGTGTTTAAACAGGGAAACCATTTCATCATGAAGACCATTTAGAATGGAACTGAGAAATTCTTCAGCATCTTCTTGTTTACCTTTAAGACATTCGATTTTAATTTTACCCAGAGTATCGTAGATGCATTTAGGTTCAAAAGGTTCACCTTTGGCAATATCTTGTCCATTAAAGTCACTAGATTTTGCTCGTTTTATCATTGGCTCACTTGGTAAGAAGTTAGAAAAAAACTTAGCGCTAATGTAAAAGATAATGGAAAAACAAACAATAGGGAAACAGATTAATTAGATTAATTGAATAACAATAAATGAAGTAATCAGCAAATAAATAAGATAATTAAAGATACTAACAAACTATCAATGATGGGTGTTGAGGATTGCTTGCGAAAGAGACCAGGTAGTTCACCAACTTCTCGCATTAGATTGTAAAATGGTGGACAGTAGAGAAGAGCCTGTAAAGTCTAAATGATGACAGAGAAATGGTTAATAATTAGTAGATTGAACATTCTCATGATTAGATTGAAATCAAGGTACTTACTGCATTAATATAGCACCAGTTCCCTCTATTGACAAACCCTCTTGGCATTAGGTAAGGTAAGGAATGCTTTAAATGTATATCCTTTAACCGCTCTAATCAATTAAAAGATAAGAATTAAAGTGAAACAGAATTGGATTAAATTGTAGTCGATTAAATCGTAAAAGTGGTTTGTACTTACTTCCTAATTTATTGGCTAAGGCATCTTCTTGAAATACTTTGAAACACGATGATGAGGATGATGAAGGTTCGTTTTGTTTTTTGTGATTATTGTTACTAGAATTGTGATTATTTTGATTTACAACTTCCTCTGACTGATTTGCATTGACAAATGATTGAGGAGATAAAGATGTTGCATTTGAAGATTGGGAAGATGATGTGATAAAGGCATTCGAATAATTAGAGTTATTATCATGATTAGAATTTCTTGCTTTAAAGAGATCAGCCCATGATCGGGTTGATGATGATGGAGAAACATTGATTCCTCCTGAATTGGAAGATGTTGATGATTGGTTGAGACTATTGTTGATGGAGGTACACGTTGAGATGGATGAATCATTTGAAGAATCGAGGCTTCCGTTAGCATTGGAAGAGTTTATGTTGTGGTTATTGTAAATTTTAGTCTTTTTAATGTTCTTAACGTTTTTATCGTTTCTCTCCTTTTCATTGTCTTTCACTTGTTCTTCACCAATTCCATGGTCTTTCTTTCCTTTCTCTTCATCACCTTTGTCTTCTGGTTTTCCTTTTTCATCGCCTTTCTTTTCCTTATCGGTGGTTTTAACCTCCTTCTCTTCATCTTCATCTTGTTTAACCTTTTTCATTTCATCTTCCTTGATAACACTAATATTGTCCAATTCATTAATAACATTTAAATTTGAGTCTTTTACAATAGATCCATTGGGTCGGGATTCTTTTTCAACATGTTGCTCCTGAGGAACATTAATTATATCATTAACACCATCAATATTATTCTGGTTAATATTGTCACTTGAACAATTCTCATTTAGGTTGATATTGTCTTTTGTTGGAATCTTGGTTTTACCAAGACTAACTGATTCTCCATGTTGTGGCTCAACAAAATAAAGAAATGGAAACATGGCCATGGAAACATAAGTCGGTCCATAAAATAGAACCTCACCATTTTCTCCTTGTATGAAGGATCCTCCTTTTGGACTGTATAAGGCAGCATAAGGCGCAGACGAAAGTACACCGGCTCCAATGTGATTCGGGATAAAAGGTCCACCAAATGGTGGCATAGCTGCGATGGGCCCATTGAAACCCTCATGACCAATGTAAGTACCTGATTCAACAATATTGCCTTCGACAGGAGCACCATGCTTACCATTGTCTAAAGAGTGACTAGTGTTGTTAGATAAATTAGAAAGGCCACTTTGGTCATCTTTACATATTGAGGTATTTGTTGTTGACTCCTCGTCAGGTGATTCAAATGGTAATTCAACTGATGCACTTCCAGTGGCTAAAATAAGTTCGATCTCTTTTTTCTCAGCATCTGTGGCATCACTTGTATCAAGAAATTCCATCTCCAAGTAACATTAGCAGAATGGAAAAAACTGAAAATTCATTGCTAACAAACAGAATAATTAAGAAATGAAAATGTGATTCTCTCTGACTATAGGGTTGATTTAATATCCACATTCACTTGTGTGGAGCCACCAAAATACTTGCGGGTGGGAGATTTAAACTGTTCAACAATTGGAGAGAAACCAATCGATTGATTAAATTATTCCAATTGAAAATTACAGTCGAAATAATCACAAATCAATTGGTTAAGAAAGAAATGAACTGAGATAAACAAACGCCGACTTTTAGTCCACTCGAACTCCATTTAAATGGACCTTCAACCGATGCCCTCTTCCGAATGAAAAGTTAACTTGACCAAGAATTATTCTCATTAATTGTAGTTAATTAGAGAGAAACAATCAACTCAAATTACTTTTTCTTTTCGAGTAACCAAATATTTGATAATCAATTTGATTGTTTAATTTCCTGAGTAATTTTAGACTAATTGTCCTGGGAAAAGATCAATTGGTGAGATAATCAATTTTCTCGCGAAAATATTAATTGGAAAGTAAAATGAAATTCAATTTATGTTTGGTTAAAAATGGTCATATAAATATACTCTTTAATTGTTGAGGAAAAAAGACTAATTAATTTAATTACAAAGCTATTTGTCGCCCTTTTTACTCGCCAATTTGCTTAATAAACTGTGACCGGATAGAAAAGTGATGAGCCCGAGACCCAAAAGGTATTTAATTGTGGTGAACATGTTCAATTGGAGCCACAGGCATGTAAACAAGGCGAAGATTGAACCTAACCCGAGATGGAAAAGTAACCCACTCAAAGAGAATGAGAAACCAGAAAGATTCGCACCGAGTTTAGCCCATAATCCAAACAGAATCAAAACTGGTACTAAGGTTAATAATGCGAAAGTATCCGATAAATATTTCCTCCGAGGAAACGGAAGTGGTTATATTATGGGAACCACGTTTTGTTTAGTTTCAACATCTAATGCAAACATGGTTGAATCTCCTTGGACAGGATTGAATGTCTTTTCGCCAGTCCATGTTGACGACTCTGTGGTAACAACTAAATCAAATCCGACACTTTGACCAAGAACATTGGCAACATAAATGCTTAGTAATGGATTCGCAGTACTAAATGCTGGGCCTTCATACAAACCGATAGATTGCATTTATTAGTAAAGTTTTTAGTCCTTTAACAAATCAGAAGCTCCTTTAACAGTCTGGAGGGTCTTACGATTCAAGAATTGGTGGACTTAATTACTTGACCCTAAGGGAAACAATGAAAGATTAGAAAAAATTCTGAAAGAAACATAGGTAACATCTTAATTATGATCGCACTGGTGCCACATCAGATGTTATACCGAAACATATCATCCAACTTACAATAGCTAATATTTGGATTTCCAACAGTATTAACCAACGAATACCAATTAATATCAAAGTGATACGAAGTCCACCTGCAAGCTGAGAAAGAGATAAAAGATAAAAGCTGTAGAATGATTTTTCCGACTATAAAGAGACAAAGTTCCCTGAAAGTTGGATTAAATCACACCATTACTCTTCGATACGTTTGACAGAGTGCCCTTCAGTTGACACTCGAAAGGTCTCCAACATCATATCGAGATTAAAAAATGTAATTCAATTCTAGTGCACGTTGACCTACCTGAAGAAATCGGCTTAAATGACAATTTTCGAAACTTTATTCAGGAAAGTGGAAACATTTTCCACACCTTGAAGATGAGCTGACTGACGAAAAGCATGACCATCACTCAAATGGGAATCATCTTTTCTCAAATCTACTTGCTGATCTTAGCCACGTCAATCGGTTTACCAAAATTTTAAATTTATATCTAAGTGAAAGAGTAGATTGGCCAAAGCGACATCGGTCTTGCTATTACCCTCCACAGGTTGAACCAAAGAGTAGAGAGGTTTTTACTCTTTGGGTTAAACCTAAAGTAAAAGTAAGAAAGATGTTATAAGTATTTCCAGTCACTAAATAGACAAATAAAACCATGTAGGAAGGATTGACTGATTGTTAATCTCCGATGATCCCCTGATGATTCAAATTACTGGAAAGCACGTGGCATCGAGAGGATAAAATCGGAACAAGAACTGAATAAAGCAAGAGATTAGAATTTCATACCTGACAATTAAACAATTAAGGAGTAATTGATTCAAAATGAAGTGAATCTGATTTTTCAGCAAACGAATCGGTGAGATTTGATACCAGGAAATCACAGACTTTCTTCGTTCGTTGAGTATTCAAAACGGTGAAAAGTCTATTGGCTAGCACATTGGACCTTAAAGAGAATAATATAAATTAAAGTCTCTTTGACAAAAAGTAAGTTACTAATCTTAGATAAAAGTGGCAACTCACTAACGAGTAGAGGTTTTTATTCATTGTAAAAATTTAAATTTTTGTTGTTTATAAATCACTAAAAGGCAAAGTTAAATTGAACGAATCACTAAACCATGTTGAGCAAAGAGTAATAAGGAGCAAGTCTTTTCAAGAGACTGCTGACTCTGCACTGCAGACTAGAGTTGTTCCGATTTGAAAAATTGATCGATCAGATCGATCTTTGAGAAAGAAAAATTGATCGATCTAAACTTTCAGAAAATCGATCACCTGAAAAACCACGTGATTTTCGATAAAAATTCAAAACTCAAAAAACTGATTAACAAATTTTACTTAATTAAGAAATTAGACAGTGAAAATAGACAGTATACAAAAGAAAGAGAAAATTTTCAGCCTTTTTTGACCGCCAAATTTGAATTAGAAAAATCGAAATTGATCGATTTATTAGCGAAAATTGATCGGATCGATCGATCAACTGAAAATCTGAGATCGGAACATCTCTGCTGCAGACCACAAGAAGGAAATTTACTAATTTTTAATTAGTTCACACCGATCGACCAGGTGGAGCTCAAGTAAATAGCAAAAACTGCGGCAAGCAAAGAGTAGTAAGGCTTATATTACTCTTTGGCAGCAATGGAGATTTAATTAATCAATTTTTCCAATTAATTATTATTCTAATGATTATTTTTATATTTTTTTGTTGAATTAATACTGAGCTTGCTTCTTTACGATATTTGATCGGCATTTGATGAGATGTGAAGGATCACCAAAAAAGTTTGATACTGGACCTGAAAAGCTTTAAGTTAGACCTAGATAGTTATAAGTTATCCATTTGATATTGCTAATAGCACTGTAGTTGCTTTTGAGATTACTTTTGGATGTGAATCGTTTTAGACACAGATCACATTGGACATTTCACCTTCTTCAACAAACATTAGCACATATACGACACTGATAAACGCAGCACAATTTTCTTGATAGCTACAATAATTATACGATAACTTCAACAGATATCATTATCATCATTACTAAAAATCTTTGTGCTAAAACATTTCTCTACTTTGCTGTTCGAAAATTCAAACAATCGTACTACTTAACCCTAAATATAAATATTTATATAAAATATATATGCCCCTCACAGGTACCATCACGAAGGAGCAAACGACACAAGTGAGCTACATAGGAACCATCGATAAGATGAACTCTCGAATGATGGTAATCGTTGCGATTACTTTTGGATGAGAGTCGTTTTAGACACAGGTCACATTGGAATGACTTCTTGACGATATGAACGAGCTGATGTTTTTACTAATGAGCTAATTAGATAAACGATTTCTGACAAATTCTACAAACAAATGGTCGTTCACCAGTACATTTATAAATACGAACGTAACACTTAAGATTTGACATTTGACCAAATACCTTGGAAAAAATCTTACATTTAAGAGTCTTTTTCTCGAATGACGATAAACACGATTAAGGTGAAGATGGCTAAGACAAAGATGATAGGCAAGATGATGATCAATCTACGTAAAGTTTGAGGTTATTTTTACTTTCTAATGTTTTAATTTAATAATTTTATAATTTAGTTTATCAATTTACCAATCAATTAAATTGGAAAGGATTGAAAGTAGAAACCTTAAACAATTAAAATTTAACTTAATAACAAGCATAAGCAGCAAAGATGATAGACAAGAAGATGATTCAGAAGTTTCAGAAAGTGCTGATGATCCTGCAAGTGAATTAGTCTGACAAAAAGATGACTCCTCACAAGACGAACTCTCAAATTATGGTAAATACGGAGATGGGAATAGTGGCCTCTGTGTACTTAGAAATATTTTTATCCCAATCAGTTGATGTTCTGATTGATCTGTCTTTTTATTAATGGTACACATGAAAAAGATCTTCTTTCCGCCATTTTCTTCTTTAGTTTTCTTAATTTGTTGTTACCCTTTCTCTTTTTTCCTCTAGTACCTCTTCTGGCATCTAGCAAAATTATTATTTTAGTGCTTATATCACCTTGAAAACTGCATTCAGCATTTCTATACCTTATATCAAATTCTTTACCGTACTGGAAAGTAAAATCAACCTTGAACAGTGTCCATACTGCTGTATTTATCTACCGGAAACGGACTGTCCATGTGACAATGAACAACGACTCTCTGTGACTGTGACAGTAACTTACAAATTTCCAGTTATGAGAGGGACACTGGAAGATGTCAAACGGACACTAATCGTACAAACTGTGCTATTTCTGGTGAAGGTTTTTCCTTCGCTCTTCGATCCAACCATCCGTTATGCCAAAAGAACGGGTATTGAAAGCCTTCAAAATATAAGATTAAAATATTTCAATTTCCGATTTCAACTTCAATTTGCTCCACTCCGTGATTAATTGCCCATTACCCTTTTTCTTCTAGGGTTCTGGAACACTTAGTTTAGTTTCCTGAACCACTATTTCTATCAGATTTAGAGTATTCAAAATACTTGAGCGTGTTTATGATCGAAAAAAGATTATATAAGCACTTGATAAGATGTGAATGATTACCAAAAAAGTTTGATACTGGACTTGAATAGCTTTGCGTCAACAATAACAAATCATAGCATATAATAATTGAACAGTTTTTAGAATATCCAGTTGAACGAATTCTTAAGTTTTATTTCTTATTCATCTTTCACCCAAGACTAGTAAGGAAGAATCTAGATGGTGAAGAAAAAGATGATTTAGAGGTTTCAAAAAAAT